GGAAAACATTAGCAATTGGTAAGGGACAGTGGTGGGCACCAGGAAAAGCCCTATGCAGAAACTGGAATTTCAGCCGAGCCTTGAAGCAAGGAAGGGAAACTATGAGGCAAAGATGAGGGGACAAGTCATTTCAAGTACAGGGGACAACCAGTGAAAAACAGAAGATGGAGTGTCAAGTAAGCCAATATAACTGAACTGCAGAGTGTGTACAATATAGTAAATTGTAAGATGGCTAGATAGATATGAAGGGACCTGATGATAAAGAACTTTAAATGCCAGGATACTTTATATTTGATCCTGGAAATTATAGGAAGTCACTGGAGTTCACTGGACCAGGGTTGGGGAGGGGGAGGAGGGAATTGGGTGATATGGTCAGACCTACATTTTTAAAAAATACACTGGCAAGTGAGCGGATGATGGATTGGAATGGGTAGAGACTGTGGGCAGGGAAACCAACCCAAAGATTATTGCAAATGCCCAGGTATGTGGTGATGATGACCTGAACTAGAGTTGGGGTGTGTGAGTAAGGAGAAGGGGATGGAGATAAGTGATGTGGTGAAGGCAGAAATAACAAGATGAAGCAACATATTGGATATGTGTGATGAAAAGGAGGAGCCAAAGAGTATGATAAGTTGTAGGCCTGGGTGACTGAGAGGATAGTGACGCCTTCAAGAGTAAGATGGGAATTTGGAAGAGCTGTGAGTTTGAGGGGGAAAGAGTTCTGTGTTGCACATGTTGAATTTGAGATGCTCGTGGGATATCCAGTCTGAGGTGTCCAAAAGCCAGCTGGAGATTTGAAACTGGAGCTGGATTCCTCAGACCTCTCATTTGTTACTGTTAGAGCTATTTCCCACCTCAGTTTTCCTCAATTAAATGAGCCAATGAGGTCTGATTGAAAGAGCACTGGATTTGTAACATGAGATAGTGGTGGTTGTTGTCATTTTTCAGTCGTATCTGACTCTTTGTGACCCCATTTGGGGTTTTCTTGGTAGAGACATTGCAGTGCTTTATTATTTCCTTGTCCAGCTCATGTTACAGATAAGGAAACTTAGGCAAACAGGGTTAAGTGACTTGCCCAGGGTCACACATCTAGGAAGTGTCTTAGGATGGATTTGAACTCAGGTCTTCCTGACTCTAGGCCTGGAGTTCTATCCACTGAGCCACCTAGCTGCCCAGTGTAATCTGAGGGCCTGGCTTCAAATCCCATCTCTACTTCTTACCACCTGTGTAGACCAATCACTATACTTCATTCATAAAATGAGTGGTTTGCATTAGGTAAACTCTAACATCCCTTACAGCCTTATATCAATGATCCTTATACTATAGTTATTTGTATACAGGTTGTAACCCAATAGCACAATGTCAGCTCTTTGTGTGCAGGGATGGTTTAATTATTTTTCTTTGTATCCCTCTCTCAACCTCATTCCTGACCTAGCACAATGCTTTAGGTATAATTGGGGCTTAATAAATGTTTGAGTTGAATTTAATTGACTTCAGATTTGTAAAAGACCTTAAAGGAAGTCTAGTATGACCTCAACAAAAATTTCCTCTTGCGGTGGTAAGAATCCAGTCCATATGAAAAAGGACTAAGTACTCATCCAGTCTGTGCTTGAGCATTTGCTTGGGGAAACTCACTACCTCCCCTAATAACCTATCTCACTTTTGGATAGCCCTAATAGTTAGGAACTATTTTTGTTTTTTCTTCTTAAATCATCCTTAAATGTGTCGATTTCTTTTCCACCCATTACTACTAGTTCTATCTTATGGGGTCTAGATTAGCAAGTATAAACTTTCTTCCAAAAGACAACCCTATGAAGACTTGAAGATAGTTATAATGTTCTATGTCTTCTTTTCTCTGACCCTCCATGTTTCATTTTCTTCCTGAGTCTGACTCTTGGACTTCCCTACCATATCTCACCTGCCTTCTCACCCTGGAACATCCCTCCCCCATACTGGCCCTCTTCTCCTATTGATGAGTTCCTTTCTGAGGCCTCCATTTTGGGAACAGACCCAGGCCAGCCACATTTCATTCCACTCACTGCTATGTTTTAACTTTTCTGGACTTTGCCACTATGTCCATTCCAGGGTATCTTCTTCCCTCCCAGTTCTCCTCCCACACTTTTCAGCCCCTTTTCGTGTATTGTCTTCCCCAATTAGAATGTAAACTTCTTGAGAGTAAGGACTACCTTTATGCTTGTATTTGTATCCTTGGCACATAGGAAACACTTAATAAATACTTGTTTGTTTGCTTGCTCCAGGCTAAACATCCTCAATGGCATGAGCTGCTGCCCCTTCACCATCATGTTTGCCTTCCTTCAGTTGATTTTCTGCTTTGTACAATGTGGCACCCATTAATGCACTCAGGGCTCCATATGTGGTTTGACCAGGGTAGAACAGAATGCAACTGTTACTTCCCTGGTCTTGTTGCCTAAAGTTCCATGATTTCTTTTGGCTTGTAGGCCACACTTCTGACACCCTGAGCCTGTACTTGAAAACCTTAAGATCTTTCTGAATGAACTGTTCAGCAACTCGTCTTTTGCCTTGTATTTGTGAAGTTGATTTTTTGAACCCAAGTATAAGACTTGACATTTATCCCTATTAAATTTCATCTTATTAGATTTAGGTTAGCATTCCAGCCCATTAAGACCTTTGTAGATATGGATCTGTCACTCAATGTGCTTATTTTTCCTACCTTTGAGCTACCTGCAAATTGGATAAACACGCTAGCCATTTGCATCTTTATCCAAGTTACTGGTAAATATGTCAATATGGGCATAGAGCCCAACCCAGCCTGGAGGAAGAGAGCTCTGCTAGAGAACTTCCATACTGACCTTCAAATAATCAATGACTATTATTTGGGTCCAGCCGCCAACAGTTTGGAATCTACCTAACTGCATCTCTTCGTTTTGTATTGAAGAGGAGTATAGATACCGTCAAATGTTTTGCTAAAATCTAAGTAAATCACAACTAAAGTAGTGCCCTGATCTACTAGTTTGGCAAATCTGTGTCAAAAATAGAAATGATGTTAGGCTGACATGACCAGATCTTGCTGAAATTATGTGGGCTCCTGGTGATTGCCATTTCCTTTCCTAGATAGTCACTAACTATCTCTTTAATAGCACGTCCTAGAATTTGCCAGGATTGGAAGTAACACTCATTTTCCTATAGTTTGCAGACAGTACTCTCCTTCGTTTGGAGGGGGCATTTTATTTTATTTTAAAAGCTTTATTGATGTCATTTTTTAATATCCTAGTAGGTATTGGATATACTCCTCTTTCCAGCACCCCTCTTACAAGCTAGCTTTTCCTTGTAATGAAGAAAAACAATTAAGCAAAGCCAAGCACCACAGAGCTGGCATCCGATGTTAATTTGCAGCATTTTTCACACTCATCGCCTTCCCATTTCTTTAAAGAAAGGGGGGAAGGTGATTTGCATATATTTATAAGGCTACTGTAATGTTAAAAAATAATGTTTACTGGATTCATTCTACAAAGTGAACTGTGCAACAATTCCATTCAAGTCACTTTCATGCATGTGTCTGAATGCATAATATGTGTGTGATATTTACATATAAATTAAGGATGGTTGGTGACATCTGAATGCTTTTATAAGGGAGGGACCAAAGTTCTTCCTGTCAAATCTTATTAGATTAGAGTCTCAATTAACTAGAATATTTTTTTTTACCTTCAATTTTTAGGAAATTGGGGTAAATGTAAAGAAACTGTTGGTTTTACGGATTTTTAAAAGCAATATTCAGAAGGCATCTCCTTTTCTCCCTTCTTTGAAGAAGTAGGGGATTCTGAGCATGGAACACCGTATATGCCATCAAACTTGCCTGATATGTTGGTTAGTTTTGCTGAATTGTCTTCCCCCCCTGTCTCCCTCTCCTTTTTTCTGTTATAAGGAATGGTTTGCTGGGCAGAGAAAAGGTTAGGAATATATTCTGAAATGGAGGCAATGGAAAAACAAAAAATAAAAATTAGAAATTTAAAAAGCAATATTCAGGCTTTGTGCCAGCTACAGTCTAGCCTCCTGCTGCTTAGCATGAGATTGTTAGCTCTCAGAAAAATCTTTAAAATCACTCAGTTTAATCTCATCTTTTTTTCAATATATGAAGCTAAGGATGTGACTTGGTTAACAGCAGAATGAGGACTGGGACTGAGACAGCTCCTGGCTCCCAGCCCACTGTTCTCTCATCTGTAGCTGTGCCATTCTATTTAGGTTCCTAAGTCCACAGACTGAGAGCTAGAAGGGACCTTCAAGGTCATTTATGCCGACCCCCTCATTTCAAGAGGAGGTTGAAGAGAAGTAATGCGACTTACCCAAGGCCACACCGGGAGCAGTGATAAAGGCAGGCTATGACCCCAGAGACCCTGATTCCAAATTCCGTGCACTTTCCACTGCTGTCTCTAGTAAGCACTTATTTAATAAAAAAGAGTGAAGCAATAATGTAAAGAAAACAATGCTGAAAAACATTTGAACTTTGAACAATGCCATGCCTAATTGTCACAGAGCGCTGATGGTGAAGTGCATCTCCCATTTCTTTGCAGAGAGGTGGTAGCCTACAGTTGCACAATGAAGCATACATTGTCAGGCGTGGCCAATCTGTTGGATGGTTTTACTTAAATATACTTCTTTGTTACAAGGAAGAGTTCTGTTGGGTGGGGGAAGTCACTGGAAAAGGAGGGATATTTTAAAAAAGAGTATTAATAAAAGATTTAAAGGCAAACAAATAAAGAGAGTGAACTCAGTTCAGACTAGGCTTCGTTACACTCAAATTCCAAATTAGTGGTGTTTGCTTTGAGAAGTCTTCCCTGTCTATGTCTGGGGTGACATCCAGAATGTTGTATGCACGCAGTCAGTGAGCCGCAACACCTCTAAAGTGAACTCTTCCTTAGAATGGATGGTGGCAGATAAATCGGCCTCCTCAGTCTGACTGACTTTCAGAAAAGAAGCTCTCCTCCCCTTTCTACGTCCCATTTCACCCCTGGGTTTCTCACCTCATACTCTTCCTTGAATCCATAGCCTTGACCCCGCTTCATCTGTGTGATGTGCTGCAATAGGTCTGCTACTCGGATTGCAGGTTGGAACTGGTCCCGGGGGTAGGACATTTCCACTGGCTCACAGCTCCTGTAAGGATGGGTCTGGATGGTCAGTGTGGGCTGGGCCAATTCCCCACGGCTGCTGCCTGTTTCAGAGAGAGGAAGGCAAAGCAAACTGTCACCCACTAGCTGTTTCTCCCCTTTGTCCTTGGCTTTTTTTGTCTTTTCCCATTGCTTGGGTAGCTTGGCAGAAGCTGACCTTGGAAATCAACAGAGCAGTGGTACATTTTCCTGAGACAGCCTAGGCAGAATGACATACCAATGGAGTATTTCAGGGTAATCTGCCAGAGAGGCTCGGGGCAGCAGAAACAGACAGGCTGCTAAACAGATGCAAAAATACCAGTGGTGGACTTCAGAATGGGAAGACTTTAGGTCCTTTCTATTTGGAGAGTGTATATGAGCATGGAGCAATATTATCTATCACACCTATCTTCTCTTCTCTCTCCTTACTACAACCACTCTAGTACAGGCCTTCTTCTCTTCTCACCTAGATTACACAAATAACCTTCAAACAGCTACCTGTAGACAAACCCTGATCTAATTCACCCTTTTGGTAGCTAGCTAAGTATTCTTCCTAATTAAACACTCTGATCACATCATCCTTCTACTCAAAAACCTTCAGTGATTCCTAATTGCCTACTGAATAAAATACAAGTTCCCGAGAACAGCACTCAAGACCCCTTCCTCATCTCTCTCCCCATCCCCCATGATCTAATTATAACCCACCTTTCAAACATTTCATACTACTCTTCTGGCAGTGTATATTTGAGCCAAAGTCAATTATATTCTGTTCTAGTCCTACTATATTTTTTGCCTCTGGAAGTTTGCTCATGTCATGATGTGCCTAGAATGGTCCTCCCATGTCCTCTTCACCTGCTGATGTTTCTTTCTTCCTTTAAGGCCCAATTCAGATGCCACTCCTCCATCTGTGTCAAATCACTTGCCTATATCTTCACACTATCTCACTCTTATCTTATATCATAGCTATTCATGTAATGATAAAATAATTTTATAGTATTTCAAAGCTAATAAATCACTCTAGTGATTATCTGGTTTTATCCTTAAAAACATCCTGTGAGGTAGATGCTACAGATATTATTCCCATTTTACACATATGGAAAATGAAGTTCTGAGGTAAGGGAAAGTGACTTACCCATCCATGGCCTCATGCCTACTGAGTTTTTGAGGAAAGATCTGAAAGTCTTCTTGGCTCTAAGTTCAGCATTCTATCTATAATACTATGCTGCATGGACATGTCTGTTCCGTCTTCCCACCCCCATTAGATTGCAAGCTCCTAGAGAGCAGGATCTATATTCTATCTTTCTTTGTATGTCCCCAAACTAGAAAAATGAAGCATAGTTGATGCTTAATAAATATTTGTTATGTAGAACTGAATGGTGCATTTTCCAAAATGACAATGATAAAATGTGAATGAGTTCCATTTTTGTTATGAAACAGATGAAAACTGTCTCACATCTGATGGGTCCCTTTTGCATCCTGTCTATCAATGACAAAGCATGAAAACCTGTCCATCAATATGAACTCCCCTCGGAATACTGCACACAGCCTTATGGGAAAGTGGACCAATCCCAATCTTTGCTTCTGCTGAGCCTTCTGCTTTTATTCCTGATTGCTTTGCAGAGCCCGGGGGCCCTTTAGCTTACTCCTACATTGGAAAGATCTTATTGCTGATGGTGCTTCTAAGTTTGGGGGAAGAGAAGACTTCAGGATTGAGGCGGCTTGACACTGAAGAGCACTGCATTTATATAAAGCAGCAAGTATGTAAAAGACAAGCAGAAATGGGTTAAGGGGGTGGAAAAGGAGATAGGCTGACCACATAGCTAGGAGGAATCATAACAGATGGACAGCTCCACCATGTGTAGCCATAAAAGATATCAAGAGCTACAGGCGTGTCTCAAGCCTGCTGGTTAGCTTTTCTATAGAGCAATGGATAATTTATGCAGATATAAAGCACAGATAAGAATTACACAGGAAGAGAAGGTGCTGAGTGGTTGTGATCTGCACAGGTGAAGGTAGCACCCTTTTCCAATGGTACACCTATTGAGTATACTGCAGTACTTTAATTTGTTGCAATATAAGTTGGATTGAGTCTGCTGATTGAAAGAACCATGAAAGTAGACCACATTTTCAAGGAATGTGATAGAGCAGAATTTTTTAACTTGGGGCCCATGATCTTGTTTTTAAAAATATTTTCATGACTGCATTTTGAAATAATTGATTTCCTTTGTAGTCCTACGTATTTGATGCAGTTAAAACATTATTCTGAGAAGAGAGCTCTAGGTTTACTAGGCTGACAAAAGGATCGATGGTATAAAACATGTTAAGAACCTCTGGTATAGAGTCTCTTTCTCTCGGTGGTGCTAGATGGCATAGCAGACCTGGGCCTGGAGTCAGGAAGACCTCAGTTCACAATCAGCCTCAGACACTTACTATCTGTGTCACCCTGGACCAATCAATCACTTAATTTCTGTTTATCTCAGTTTCCTCAACTGCAAACTGGAGATAATAATAGCACCTACCTCCTAGGCTGTTTTGAAGATAACATGAAATAAATGTTTGTAAAGTGCTTAGCACAGTGCTGGAACATAGAAGGGACTTAACAAATGTTTGATTCCTTCCTTTCTCTTGGAATTTTAGTGAAAAGAGAGATAAGAACATGTCGCTGCCATAAACAAAACATTGGATGAGCTCAGGATGTACTGCCCATGTCAATAACAACAATGACAACAATCTCTGATAGTTTTATGATAACTTTATAATCCTTCCAATCTATTATCCTACATCTCTCCTTCCTTTCATAGCCAAACTCCTGGAGGAGGGGGAACACATCTATACTCAATGTTTTCACTTATTTACTTCCCACTCCCTTCTTAGTCTCTGGCACTCCGATTTCTACCTTTGTTGCTGAACTGAAGCTACTATCTCTGAAGCTATCAATGACCTCTTAATTTCCAAATCGAAGGGCCCTTTCTTAGAGCTTATCCTTGACTTCTCTGTAGTATCTGACACTGTTGTCCCCTCCCCTTTCCCAGATACTCTCTTCTCTCGGGATTTTCATGATACTGCTCTCTCTTGGTTCTCTTACTGAACCTTCTCCATCTCCTTTGCTGAATCATTATTCATGCTCTGCTCCAAAGGTCAAATATAACACAAATCTCTATCTCAGGATCTCTTCTCTCTCTGTACTATGTCTCTAAGTGAATTCATTAACTCCTTTGAGTACAACTATGATCTATGCATAGGATTCCTAGATCCCTAATTTGTCTCTTGAGCATTAGTCTTACAAAAATATTGAACATTTCCAATTGTATATCCTAAAAACATCTCAAGCACAACATGTCTAAAACAGAACTCAATATCTTTATTTGAGAACTCACTTCTCTTCTTAAATTTCCCCATTTCTTTCAAGGCTACCACTATCTTTCTAGTTACTTAGGCTCAAAACTAGGAATCATCCTTGACTTTTTACTTTCCCTTACCATATACATTTAATTATCATCCAAGTCTCGTGGAGGATTAAGAGATAATATACATATACATTATATATATGTATGTGTGTGTGTGTGTGTGTGTGTGTGTGTGTATGGCTTTGAAAACCTTAAAGAACTATATAAATGTAAAGTGTCCGTGTGTAAGGTCTGTGTGACTGTTGTAAGGGCCTCTCAGAGGGCATCAAGTTTGAATAGTACCTGAAAGTACAATAGCTCTGATAAATGATCATCCAACTTCTTTAAGACCTCAAGGGAAGGAGAATCCACTACCTTCATCTCATTCCACTTCTATACAGTTTGAATGGGAGTGTTTGACTATATTGTCTCTCTTCAACTTCTAATAACTGGTGGAGTCAAGCAGAAAAAAGTGTTTCACATTACAACCCTTTAAACACTTGACAGAATGATCTTGTCCTCTCTAAATTCTTTGGACTGTAGGCTAGTCCCTAGTTGCTTAAAAAGATCTTTGTATATCATTATCTACAGTTGTCTCATCATTCTGGTTATCTTTCCTTTGATGAGGGGATCACTATGAGATGCTTAATGTTTCCAAAGTGTTGAATAAATCCATGTTTTCTTCAAGCACTTTCCTCAACATGCTGCGATTGTGATGATGATGGACTGGGAGTTGAATGCTGTACCAGACACTAATTATCTGTGTGAATATGGGAAAGTCCCCTTCACTCTCTGAGCTTCCATATCCTCATCTATCAAATAGGGATGAAAACATTTGTTCTGCTTACTTCTCTCTGTTGTTGAGAGATTCAAATAAGCATATCTATGGAAAGTACATTGTAAACCTCAAAATGCTTTGTAAGTGCCAGCTATTATCACAGATAGTCAATGTAAAAAAAATCATCATGGTGAATGAAACAAAAACCACATTTGGAATTTTAGAGCAAAAGCTAAAAACATGTGTAATGACAATGATGCCAGTGCTAATGAAAGACAGTATGAGGATTCTGAATGGAAGGGATTTCAAGGTTGATTAATTCACCTCATTGGAGGCCTTTATCCAATGTTTTGTATTTCACCTATCCACTTATTAACTTCTTATAATGTAGAAAAGACGCCTTTTCAATCTTGGACCATTTCCAGTAGACGCTCTATGCTTAATTTTCCATCATTAGGTTTAATGAAAACCCAATTTCACAACTCACTTCTCTCAGGAACCTACAAGTGGTGCTATGTTTTTTATCAGCCCCAATTAAAAAACGTTATGATGTCCCTATCCGAGAGGGAGTCTTAAAACTAATGTGTAGTTCTATTGCTAATTCAACAAGGGCATACGGAAAACACAGGTTGCTCATAAAATGTAACTCAAACCAGCCAGCCTTTGGATTGCTCGTTAATCACTTCTCTTGTCACCAAATCCTTAATTTTCAGGAATGTTCAGTTTCCCTTTTATGGATACCATTAGTTTATTTATTGTATAATAATATTTTGAATTTCTATGACCATTCATACATAGGTCACCTAAATCTAGAGGGCTTCTTTATATACTATAGTTCTGGACCCTTGTGGTGAGCAGCAAGAGGATTTGGAGTAGTGGGGGGCCTTAAAACTGTACTCTT